ACGAGCACGAGCGGGCGTGCAGGACCCTCGAGCGCATGGTGATCTACGACCAGCTGAATGTGGCGAATCTCGCCTCGGGCGAGATGCTGGCCAGGTCGGTGCAGCTCCAGGAGGAGCGCTACAGGGACCGCGTCGCCCCGGCAGCCGACTCCGGCAGCCTCGACGCACACGTGCTGCTCGGTACTGACCAGCTGCGGGGGAACGCGTGCGTCGCGCCGATGCTGCAGGACCACATCAAGGACGAACTCACGAAGATGAATTCCTACAGGAAGGAGCAGCGCAAAGCCAGAGAGGAGCGCGACTTGGCCCGCAAGAAGAAGGGGACCAAGGGCGACAAGGGCTCTGGCAAGGATGACAAGTAGCCTCGGAGCGGGGAGTGGAGTTGGGCGCCCGCTCCCGCCATCCAGCCCATCGGGCCCTGACGCCTCGGCTGACGGGCCACCTCTGCCCTCGCGCCGCGCGGAGCCAGGAGGGCGCCAGCGGGACATCTTCCCCTTGCCTTTCTTGGGCCGCCCTCGCAAGGGCTCCAGTTTTGCGCGCAGTCGCCGCGGGCACCGTCAACCTTCTGATGGTGCTCCTTGGCAGGACTGGGCCGACGACGCCATCGACGTCATGAACGCTGCGTGTGCCCCCGAGGCCCAGCCGTCAGCCCTCGGAGTTTCTGAAGGCCAGCGGGCGTCTCTCGCGCACATCCAGCCCACCTTCGCCTGCCTCGAGCCGCTGGCTGAGGGCGAGGGCTTTCCCGAAGGAGCGCTTTCGGATCTTCTCTCTGGCTCCCCGCTGTATGCCACGGGGGGGCCTCGCCGACCCTACTCGCGGGACTTGATCTCGTGGCCCGACGTCGGCGACGACCCCGTGCCTCTCACCAAGGTCGTTGCTGGCCCGGACGCTCAGTGGCTTAGGGCATGGAGCTCGAGCATGCTGCGTGGTCGCGAGGAGGCGGACGCCCTCCTGCAGCAGGTATGCCCTCGCGGGCCGCATGTCGACCCCAACCTTGCCTTCTCTCCGGCGACGTTCGCCGACTTCCTTGCTGAGATGTTGAAGCGGAAGATGATTTGCTTCCAGGCGGAGGACCCTCGTATCAAGCCGATTGGGGTCTTCTGCGTGGCAAAGAAGAGCAACCGTCTGAGGCTGATCTTTGATACTCGTACTGCGAATGCGTACTTCACGGGCCCCCCAGCCACCGCGCTGCCGAGTGCTGCCGCCTTCTCGAACCTGGAGGCGCCAGGTGGCAAGGTGGTCGTCGCGGCAGGAGACATCGACAATGCCTTCTACCGGCTGCTGATGCCCGAGGGCTTGTGCAGCTATTTCAGGCTTCCGCCGATCGACAGGCGGCACCTGGAGGCCCGCGGTATCACGGGACTCCCCGATGCCGCCAGGGTGCAGGCTTGCCTGGTCGTGCTGCCGATGGGCTTCTCCTGGGCGCTGCACCTCTGCCAGCTGGCGCTGCGGACCGCGGTCTCGCGGGCTGGCGTGCCGGGCCACCTCGTCATCGAGGACGGCCTCCCCGGCGTCGTCGTGGAGCCGCTGGGCCAGGCCGCCGTCGCAGGGCACGCGGACAACTACCTGGCCGTCAGCGGCGAGGAGTCGGAGGCCGATCGCGCCCTGGATCGCATCACCGCGGAGCTGGAGGGCGCTGGCGTGAGAGTCCATGAGCCTGAGCGGGCTTCGGACACCTGCAGCTTCTTGGGGATGGAGCTGCGGCAGGGCCGCTGGCTGGCTATCAAGGGGCGCTCAGTCTGGAGGTTGAAGCTCGCCATCGAGGAGCTGCTTAGGCGCGGTCGCGCCTCTGGGCACCTCGTGCGCGTGCTGGTTGGCCACCTGACCTGGGCCTCGATGGTGAGGCGCGAGGCGCTGGGGCTCCTCAACGCGACGTACGCCTTCATGATAGCGTCCGGCGCGGAGGTGCAGACGCTCTGGCCCTCCGTGCGGACTGAGCTGTGGCGCGCCCGCTGCCTGCTGCCGCTCCTTGCGGCGGACCTCACCGCGCCCTGGGCGACGAGGCTAGTCGCCAGTGACGCCAGCGAGGAGGGGCTTAGCGTTTGCCGTCGGCAGGCCTCAGGCGACCTCATCGCCCGCTGCGGCCGTCTATGCGAACGGTGGCGGTACCGAGTGGAGGGTGGGGCGCGCGCCAGGGATAGAGCTCTTCTCTCTTCTGCTTCGACCCGCTCACCCCAGTCATCGTCTCTTGCCGCTTGCCCCTTCGAGCCTGCAGATAGGGAGGTCGCATTTGGTCACAGTCAGTTGGATTTCGACTCGGCTTCGCCTGGCACGCTGGACCCCGACAAGCTTCCCGAGGACCCCGACATGGAGCTCCACAACGATGCCCCCTTGATCTTGGATCTCGGGAATAAGCTCAAGGAGTTCGACGAGGTGCCCGCGGGTCTCTTGGATGCCAAGTCTTGGAGGGGCGTAGTCGCTACGAGGGTCCAGGCGGGCCAGAACATCTTGGGGTTGGAGGCCGACGCCTTGGTAGTTGCCTACAAGCACCTCTTGAGATCCTCAGCCTGCCGTGGCAAACGGGTTCTGGCACTGGTCGACAATATGCCGTTGTGTCTGGCCGTGGCGAAAGGGAGAGCGGCCTCAGCATACCTACAACTTCCATTGCTAAAAATTTGTATGATGCCACTTGCTACGGGAACGAGATTGCACTGCAGGTGGATTCCGTCAGAACGCAATCCTGCCGACGCTCTGTCTCGAGGGCGCCGTACCTGGTTTTCAGACTCCGACCCCCGCGCAGGGCTGCCTCCTGCGCATGGCGGCGCGGCGGCGCCCAGCGGCTGCGCGGCCGCGGGCCCTGCGCCCGCCCGCGCGGAGGCCCCCGCCATCGGCCTTCGAGGCCCGCGGCCGCCGCGCCGCCCTGGCGGGTCGCCTGATGGCCGAGCGGCCGCCGATGGGGGAGCTCAGCGCCCTGGAGACCTTGGCGGCGCGGGCCAGCACGGAGGAGCAGCACCGCAGGGTCCTCAGGGAGTTCGCGGCCTTCTGCTCCGAGAGCCACCTGGACTGGAGGGACTTCGACCAGCTCGACCTGGTGGCCACCCGCTTCCTGAACTACCAGTTCGAGCGCGGGGCCCCCGCGAGCCAGGGCTCCCTGCTGCTGGCGTCCCTGGCGCACTTCTTGCCAGGCCTCCAGGGCTCGTGGAGGGCCCATCTGCCGCGGGCTACGAGGAGCTCGATAGCCTGGGCGCGTCGCGCGCCCTCGATGACCAGGGTGCCGCTTCCATATTTCGCGGCAGCAGCGCTGGCTGGGCTGTTGGCCATCAGCGGGCGCCGACGCATGGCGATATGGATCCTGTTCTCGTTCAGCTGCTACCTGAGGCCGTTCGAGACGCAGGGGCTGCGAGGGGGCTCCCTCGTGCGCCCAGCGGCGCAGGCAGCGGCCTCGGCGGCTTGCTGGGCGCTGCTCCTGCATCCCACCAGCGGCGGCCGCCCAGGCAAGACCGGGTTGTACAACGAGAGTGTAGTGATAGATCTCGACCGGCAGTTGTGGCCGCTGCTCGCCGGCCTCAAGGCCGCCGTGGGCCTCGGCCAGAGCCTCTGGGATTTCACGCTGCCTGCACTGCGCGACCGCTTCAGAGAGTTCGCGGACTTGCTGCAGCTCCAGGCCCTCAACCCGACCCTCTACGCGCTGCGACACGGCGGGGCAAGCTGGGATCTGTTGGAGGGCCGGAGGACGTTGGAGCAAACCCAGAGGCACGGCCGGCGGGCCTCGCCGGGCAGCATGAAGCGTTCTGCCAAGGAGGCCTACTTGCAGGATGCCATGACCAAAGTTCCCGACTGGGTCTTCGTGTTCGGCCGCTTCGCGCACGCCAACCTGCTAGAGACTGTCGAGGTGGGGCCCGCCCTCGCGCAGCGGCCGCGCCTGCGGCAGCAGCTGCCCGCGCCCGTGCAGGCGCTGATCGGAGCCTCGCTGCCATAGCTTCGCCAGCGCAAATCCAGCGTCACTTGAAACGGCTGCTCGCTCGTGAACTGAATGCCTCTCGCAAGCGTAGGCACGGAGTGTTCTTGGAACTTTTTGGTGGGACTGGGATGGTCGCGAAGGCCCTCAAGGCCGAGGGCTTTGGGGCCCTCAGTCTGGACCTCCTGCATGGCCCCTTTGAAGATCATCTAGACAAAACGTTTGAAAGGCTCGTCTCGGGCTGGATCAAGTGCGGTCTCATCTGGGGTTTTTTTCTAGGTACCCCGTGTACGACATGGACACGGGCCCTGCGCAGACCCCTCCGAGACGTGGCTTCGCCCATGGGGGTGCCCGATCTCAACGAAAGCGAGTCCGCTAGAGTTCGGGTAGGGAATGCGACCCTCAATTTCTCGTGCCGCATCATCTCGTTGGCCAATGATCTCGGAGTGCCTGTTCTTCTGGAGAACCCCCAGACCTCCCTGATTTGGGCGGCGCCCAGACTTGCCCGTCTTGGAGCCCTGCCCGAGTCTGAATTTGTTGTCTGCCACGTCTGTCAGCACGGGGCCCGTTGGCGGAAAGCCACCAGGCTTCAGGGGTGGAACATTTCCAGTTTTGAGCCTCTCACTCGTAAGTGCAATGGAAAGAATGGGATCTGCTCTCGCACTAAGGAGCACCACATTGAATTGTCGGGGACGGCGCCAGGCGGTCGCAAATGGACCAGCCTTGCTGCAGCGCGCCCCCCGCCCTTCGCTCGTGCTGCCGCCGCCGTCCTCGCCCATTCCTCGGAGCAAAGGCATGGATTACGCCTCGGTGAGATTCTGTGCCCGTAGGTTCTCTGTTTTCTCTTTTCAGTGGAAGCCCCATGGGGCTCCGGCCTAGCGGCCAATCTGCCCGTTTGGGAATCGGGATCTGTGCTGGCTGATGTCTCAGCGGGGCTCGGCGCCGTGCCCCGAACTCGTGGCCTGTGGGAGCCTCTCGAGCGCGCACACAGGAAAGGTGTATCAATACAGCTGACGCTGCTTGGCCGCTTAGAAGCGTCTGTACTTGCTGGTAGATTTAACATCGTGAAGCGAGGAGGGGAGCGGGCAGGCGGCCGCACCGCGTTCTTCGCGGCCGTACTGCTCAAGCTCCGACCCTCCCATCCCAACCCTTCTCTCTCGGCCCACTCTTGTACATTACCTGTTGTGGGATCTGTGCTGGCTGATGTCTCAGCGGGGCTCGGCGCCGTGCCCCGAACTGGTGGCCTGTGGGAGCTTCTCGAGCGCGCACACAGGAAAGGTGTATCAATACAGCTGACGCTGCTTGGCCGCCTAGAAGCGTCTGTATTTGCTAGATTTAGAAATATATGCTGGGGACGATTTTTGCATATGTTTTGCATATGTTTAATTCTTCTTCCTAAACCTGCCTGTAGGGGACATGCCCGACCTAAGCCTAGCCTTGCGTAGGGCCTTCCCCCGTTGGGACGTCACGGTGCTCGCCACGGCTCGTCTCGCCCCCACGGCAGGTCTCAGGGGCAACGGAACGGGGAGAGCGGCCCATGGGCGAGTGCGTCGACACACCGCATCGCCCATGGATCGCCGATAGGGGTCTGACAGCCCAACCCCGCCCAGGAGCGTGCGGATGCAGTGTCGGGGGCCTACCGCCGATCTATCGGCGACGTATCGCCGATTCCAAGTCGATGTCCCCGCCCGCGCCAGTCCCCCCCTTACCGTTGCTCCCGCTCAAAGTTCGGGACAGGCGGAGGAGTTCGAGAAGCACCAGGGCGTCAAGCGCTGGGACCACTTGGAGAGCTCAGCCGGCGGGAACGCCGGGGGCCCAGCTGCGCCGAGGGTTGCGCGCGGGTCGCGCAAGCGGGAGGGAGAGGCGGAGGAGCAAAGAGGAGAGCGAGCGCGAGGGGGCGAAGGACGACCAGGCACGAGTCGAATAGCAAACAAATTGCATAAACATCATTTCGCGGAGGTCCGCGCGGATTTCTTGGATCGGCGCTGGGTCCCCCTGGCGGCGCCTCGCGCGCCAGGGGGGGGAGGTGCAGCGCCGATCCCAGAAATCCGCGCGGACCTCCGAGAAATCATGTTCATGCCGTTTTGGGGTGGTGTTGCTGTTACCCGTCTGGGGACGCAGGGAGGCCTCGATGGCCGCATTCCCCTCGCGGTCCTGGCCACTGCGCGCGACGAGCGAAAAGGCTCGAAGATTCGATGACTTTGGGAGAGGGGGAGGGGGAAGGGAGGGGGAATGGACCGCGTCCTCGCGCGCTTTGTCCTGCGTATCGTCCTGCTTGGCGGTCTCAAGCTGCTCGTGCCGAGGATGCGCCAACATGGATCCCAGACGCGTGGATCAGCGGCGTGTCCCGCTTCTGTGCGAAAGTCGGCATACTCCGCCTCCAAGGCAGCAGGCAGCATCGGCTTCATTTTTCGAGGAGTACCTTCCCCGATCCATGGATCTGGCGGCAACGTGACAGATCCACGGATCTTGAGTCCATGTTAGCATGTGCCCGACACGAGAGGGACTGACTGATTGCCTGACGAGTCGTCTAAGTTGGTGAAAAGAAGGCGTTCTTCAATTTGTGGCCTCACGCCACAAGCGAAGATGCAACGTTAGCGGCCGGGGAGGGAGAAAGGGAAGGGGGGGACGGTGGGATGGAGTTCATCCTCGTGCTCGCAGTCGTGCTTACTGGGGGAGCGTTCGTAAATGAATGTGCCCAGGATGCTCCAGACCTTGGATGACCCTTTATCTGATGAGAGCGGCGGTGATATCCATGGCCAGTCCACCATTGGAGTTCCACCAGCTTCCCCTGGATTCCTTATCCTATGGTTTCTTATCGCGGCCGAGGATAAGAGCACGGAGTGGCGGGCCGAGAAGGGCGGCGGTGCGGTGCCGTGGCTGGCGGCCGCCTTCTTCATCGTCCTCATCGGGAGCATGCCCGTCGTCGGCGCGGTGGGCTCTGGCGGGCTCACGAAGACGCACGTCCTCGAGAGCGCGTTCCTCTACACATGGCCCTCCCTCCCTCTGCCCTCCTCCCCTCCGGGAAAATGGTGCGCCGTGGATCGGCTACGCGTGAGAGTGACCCCTCGCCGGAGTGGCCCTTGGTGCCCCCCTCTTCCTCCTCCTCCTCCTCCTCCTCCTCCTCCTCCTCCTCCTCCTCCTCCTCCTCCTCCTCCTCCTCCTCCTCCTCCTGGTTGCAGAACATGGTCACCACGATCCAAGCGTTATATGTGAAAGATGACTCCATGGTGCAATGCTCCGAGGAGATCGCTCTGTTTGTGACGTCACCGTACCCAGGACAAGGCCTCAATGCTCGTCTAGACGCCACGGTTGTGCAGGCGCGAAACCTCATCAATAATATCCCCATGGACATGGACCAGATTCAATCTTTTGTTGATGATATTGCTGACGATGTTACTCTGGCAGTCAAAGGTCAGACTAAAGATTCCAATGCTGCATGGGCTGACTGGTGCAGTGCAGCATCTTGCGGCGGCGCTCGACCCCTGCATCGACTCACTAAGGTCAAGGCCATCCCGACGCCAGCCGTGGCAGTTGGTATTCAGTCAGGCGACCCTGTTGTTACTGTTGCGCAGGAAGTGGAACTGTATCGTCGTCTGTGGCATGCCTCTGATGCTGCTCTCCCTCCTTGGGTACCTGATCGGTCGATGTGCCCGCTCCTGGAGCCAGATGATCTGCGTCGTGCTGCCCTGTCTTTTCCAGTCGGGACGGCCACCAGCTATGATAACTTCCACCCGAGGCACTTCCTGCTACTCGATGACGACGGCCTTCACACTTTGGCTCTGCTGCTCTCGGCGTCTGAAGCCATAGGCATGCTGCCCAAGCAGCTTTGCTGGATCCAGATGCCGATGCTGGGCAAGCCGTCTGGAGGCAATCGTCTGATAATATTGTATGCCGCCATATACCGTATGTGGCAGAGAGCACGCAAGCCCATGGTTGCGCACATGCATGATGCCCTTGACAGAAGATACTGGGGTGCCAGCCGTGGGAGATCGGCCACTGACTGTGCATGGTTGCAGGCGGCTCGTTCAGAGAGCAGCCAAGCTGCTCACAAGTATGGCGTTCTCATCGCAGTTGACTGGGTCAAATACTACGAATCGATTCCGTTACTCGAGTTGCGACGCAAGTTTCAGCGCCACGGAGCCCCACATTGTTGGCTGAAGCTTGTTGTCAACATGTGGTCGTGCCCACGAGTCATCCGACTTGGGCGCCACCACGCTCAGACGGCCTTGGTGGCCACTCATGGGCTACCTGCAGGTGACGGTTACAGCGACCTGGCGATCAAGGTCAATGCCGTCGACGCCTTCGACACTTTCGTCGAGCTGGCGCCGTTCGTGGATTTCCAGAACTACATCGATGACACAGGCCTCCACGTTGCCTCGAGTGATTATGTAATAGCTAAGTCAGCGGCAGTTGCGGGGATGAAGCAGTTTCAGGCGGCCAGTTCGAGGTTGAATGCGGAGCTGCACCCAGGCAAGCTGTCCATTGTTTCCACCTCTCAGGAGCTCGCTCGGGATGTTTGCACGGCTCTGCAGCTGCCACCATCTGTTTGCAAAGCGAGTGTCGCATATCTTGGCATCGATGAATCTGCTGGCGCTCGACGGCATGCACAGCGAGCTCGTCTGAAACAGAAAGGCCGCATTGCTATGATGAAAAAGCGAATTCGCAAGGTTCGAGCCCTCCGAAGGCGTTTCAAGGGACCCAAGGAGACCCCGTTTAAGAAGGTGTCCAAACAAGGCGTTGCTCCAGCCTGTGGTTTTGGGGCGGAGGTCTTGGGTCTCACGGCCTCGGAGTGGCTAAGCCTTAGGAGAATGATGGCCCGCAGTGAGGGGCCTTCCCACGGGGGCGTCTCTCTCACGGCTAAAGTCGCTCTTTTAGGGGATGGTAGTGCTCGCTATGCTATCGTTCCTGCTATACAATGGTGCCGTATGATGTGGACCGCTTCGCGGCGTCCCGATCTCTCGCTGGTCTCACGCGCTGAGCTTCTGAAGCTTTGGGATTTGTGTCAGCATCTGGAGCGCCCTACTTGGAACAGATCCCAGGGGCCCATCTCTAGAGCGGTTCTCAGTTGAAAGCGCGCTGGCTGGAGGGCCGAAGGGCCATGTTTCTGGATAGACCACAACGGCCTCAGAGTAGACCTGTCTGCCACGCCCCCTGCTCTGCTGGCCGTTCAGCTGAAAGCTGGATTGCAGAGAGAGCGGTAATTTGATTTTTCTCGAAAGCTCGGTTCCCCTCCAGGGACTAGGGCCACCCTGGACCTGATTCGGGACGAAGTCGGACCCAAGGCCCGAAAATTCACTCGCTTCCAGAAGTACCGAATTAAGAGCTGCAGCTGCGGTGGACTGTGGGCCAATGATCGTGCCATGCGTTCGGGGTACTTGTGTGACGGGTTGTGTGAGTGTGGGGAACGTGACACAGTCCACCACAGGTTGTATACCTGTCAGCTCACTCGAGTTGTTGATGCGCGGGTGGCGTCTGAGGTGCCTGATTCTTTCCTCAACGCGGCATGCGATGATCCCGACAACCCCATCTTCACTCGAGGGGTTCACGTGTATGAAGACAGCGCGTTGCCCTGCCCGTCGACGTCGCCTGAGGTTTACATCTACGACGGGCAAGGCAACGATCTGGACATGACTCCTGAGTCAATAGCTAGCCTCACCACCCAAGCTCCGTTGCGCCTTGCGTCTGATGGTTCGAGCACCAAGCCTTGGATCAGACCCTTGCAGCGCGCGGCCTGGGCGATAGCGGTGTGTCCTGACGAGGGTGAAGACCCCGTGGCGATCGTCAAAGGAATTGTTCCAGGAGTTCTGCCGCAGACGCCTGCAATGGCTGAGCACTGTGGCATTGCTGTCTGCGGCCAGATTGCTACGCGACCCACAGTGCTGGGCGCGGACTGTCAGGCAGCCATTCGAGTGCGTCAGAAAAATGTGAATGACCAGCTTGCCCTTTCCAGCCAGTTTGCTGGAGCGCGAGCCTTTGCGCATGAGCTCGAAGGCACTCATCTGATTCACACCGTTCGGCACGTCAAGGCCCATCGCGATGACGCAGAGATTCAAGGCCTGGAGGGCGAAGAAAAGATTTTTGCGCTCGCAAACGCTGCTGCCGATCGATATGTTAAACAAGGCCTGCAGTTGCACCCAGCACCGATGCCTGAGTTTGTCCAAGAGCTCAGCCTTGCTGGTGAGAGAGCAGGGCATTTCATCAAGCTTGCGGCACAGGTGCTCCCATGTTTTGACAATGATGTACGGTGGGCAAGGCCCCACAGATTTGGTGCTGCTCGGTCTCGACGACAAGTGTCGTGGCATGAATGGCACAAAGGCGAGCTCGGACTTCAATGTCGGAAATGTTTCAGAGTTGCTGAAGGTAGCCGTGTCAATGTCCCCATGAACGGATGTCGCGGGTTGCCGCCGTTCCTCCGTGGTCTGCTCCGTGACTCCTTGGGCCACAAGCTCGTCGCCATGGTTGGACCCCGATCGACGAATGGCGCGTTCTCGGTGTCGTGTCGGTTCTCGTCCAAGGAGCAGATCCTCTGTCTACGCTGCGGGGGTTGGTCCCAATGGAGGGGTTTAAAGCTCGGTCGTCAGTGTGAGGCTCCGTCACGGAAAGGTTTGGAGATTTTGGCGGTGTTCAGGAAGGGATACTGCCCCAACCCGAGAGTTCGGGCTGCCCTGGATCGTGCGGTCCCGCTCGTGAGGCTTGGCCTGTCCGCCGCCCCTCCTGAGCCAGATGCCCCTACCGTGGTACGAACCTCACACTCCAGCTCGCTGACGGCCCCCTCCTACGAGCAGCGTATGTCAGCCTTGTGTGAGAGGATTCGTCTCAGGGAACAGGCCGCAGCGGCCAGGTCCCGTTGCTAAGTGTCCGTTTTACTGGGTCGACTCCCCCCCAAGTTTTTTGAATTTAGCCCTGCTTTTTTCCAGTTTAGTGCTGTGCACTCCCCTTCGGGTCTGTTCTTCTTCTTCTTCCTCCTCCTCCTCCTCCTCCTCCAACGACTAAGACTACGACTACTACTACTACTACAACTACTACTACTACTACTACTACTACTACTACTACGATTACGACTACGACTACGACTACGACTACGACTACTACTACTACTACTACTACTACTACTACTTCTACTACTTCTACTACTTCTACTACTACTACTACTACTACTACCACTACTACTACTACTACTAATAATAATAATATTACTATTACTATTACTACTACTACATGTACTACTACTACTACTACTACTACTACTGCTACTACTACTACTACTACTACTACTACTACTACTACGCTACTACTACTACTACTACTACTACTACTACTACTACTACTACTACTAAGACTACTACGACTACTACTACTACTACTACTACTACTACTACTACTACTACTTCTACTACTACTACTACTACTACTACCGAAATACGAAATACTACTACGGCTACGCTGCTCCTACTACTACTGGTACTACTAATACTAACGACTACTACTACTACAACTACTACTATTGCTACGACAACTACTACACTACTACCCCTTTACTACTAATAATAATAATACTGCCTACTAAAGCTTCTAGAAACGGCTCCTAACTCCTACTCACTACTATACTACTACGACTACTATACTAACTAGTACTACTACGACCACGACTAACGACTAACGACTACACTACGACTACTACTACACTACTACTACTACTACTACTGACTACTAACTACTACTACGACTACCTACGACTACTACGTACTACCACCGATACTACTACCACTACCACAACCACTAACTAACAACTATACTACTACTACTAACTACTACTACAACTACTACTACACTACTACTACTACTAACTAACTACTACACTACTACAACTACTCACGACACTACTCTACTACTACTACTACTACTACTAACGACTACGACTTACTACAACTACACTATGACTATTACGACTACGACTACGACTACGACTACGTACTACTATTATATAACT